GTCTGCAAACCTAGTGCTAAGATACTTAGGGATTGATCAAAGTATCATTAACATTATCCATGAAAATCCATTCTTTTTCTATCTTGCTAGGGACTAGATAGAGTCTTCAAAACTGCCCACAAAACTATATCCCAGAAGCTCCATTTCTCCTGAAAACTCGAAGAGCTACAGGGATCAGAGACATGCCGTTAGCTCGTTAGCTACCAGTCTCAAGAAGATGGATCTCAAAACAACAATTCCAGATCAACCTATCATCACACATCAGCTCCCCAGTTTCTCCAAACTCTTTCTCTCCTATTCCTTCAAGATTAACTCCCTTAAATACCCAGCAAAAAGCTACGAAAGTCAATCCTCTGAACCACGCCAACAGGACCCTCCATCAGCGTGTACACAGACTTTGCTAAAAAGCTCCAAGTTCAACCAGTATTTCGAAGCCTTTTTCAAGGATGCTCGATCCTCCTGCTCCTTCTCGAGCACGAAACGCTTGAATTACCCAGCTCCGGGAGGGAAGTTTCCGCTGTAACGCTCCTGAAATGACGAGACCGCTCGCACGGTCGTTTCATGGACATTAGGACACGTGTATCCGATAGCGCGAGTGAACGCGACGGCGGCGTTTATCTGCGCGCGGCCGCCGTTACCGCGTCTTCCCCGCCCAGACGTTTGCCCACTTCCTGCTCGTATCGTCGTCCGATTCTCGGGACATCGGCCGTATTCCGGATATACTGGAACGACGCGGCGGGACCGGCTGCCGCGGCTATAATAATGGAAAACAAATGGAAAGTCAGGTGTTTCTTATCGGTCGGCCGATACCGGCCGCCGCACGGCCACTCGCCCGTTATCGTTACCGCGGCTAGGACGCCATCGTTGGGTCTTATCGCTCCTAACGTTCCGCTGATCGCCGGAAATCGCGCCACCCTATTTTCCAGTCGATCGCGCTGCGTTGCGAACTATCGCGAGCCCTCTAGTGGATTCCGGGAAGTTTGTTGTGTCGGCGATCGGACTCGCTGTTGCGATTCGGACGATTAGAATCGGGCTTAATGCTTCCGTCAATCGGTGTTCGAGAGCTTGGGGATTGAAATGGGCTCCTATGATCTTCCAGTTATTGCGACAGTCTCGGTTCCTTCGCTTCTGTTCGAAGCGTGTCGTTTAGGGGATGTCCAGTCTTCACCTTCAGCTTCTTCCGTGGATCTTTCACTCCTGCTTCCGTTTATCGATATACACATTTTTATTCATATATCTATGTTGAAATTCATTTCTTCATTTCATCTGCTAGAATCTAGAATCTTCTATTACCTCCACACAAAGGTCGCCAGAAAGTCCTCTCGACTAACAATACAATAATCATTAATCAGCGTCGCCTCTCGTCACAAACACGTCCAAGCGAGGTCCAACGCGGAACGTCCAGGCCAGCCCCTTCCACTGCTCCCGCAGCTTAATTTACGAGCCTTTGTTTCCGAAGTATCCAGCCCATTGCCTCTCAGATTTAGAGTCCTCCTAATACCCTCGAGCTGGTCGAATCCGTCAATATCACGAGGACGGTTCCGCTGTTCCGCTAAGATCGAGCCGGCGACCGCTCGGGCCGCCGGTGGAATCGATAGCTCGCAGACCCGTCCCGAGGCCGGGCATCCCCTAGCCCGGCTTCCAGAACTATCCGGGAAATCCGAGTGCACGCGTGCAGTTCGCTCGGTTTCCGGCGAAATTTATTTCCGCGAGTAATGAGCTACGTTCGGCGCATTGTTCCGCGGACGGCTCGTATTTTCGAGGCCGCGCCGGACCGCGGGCGGCTATGAAAACTGTTCGTTAGCGGGACAAAACGCGGACCCGGGTGTTATTTGATGGGACCCGGGTCCACGGGAAAAAGCCGGCTATCGGAATCACGACGGACGCGCGCGCCCATTGATTCCGGCCCGGTATAGGCGAGTAACGCGGATTTACGGGGTTTTTTGCCGGCGCTGGCTCGCGCTATCTAGTGAATATGAATGGCGGGGAAGAACATTACACGCCGCGGCGGCTTGTCACGCTCTTAATACCGTTGACATTCGCGGCCGCGCACCTTGGAACACCGGTCTCCTCCTCCCGGCCCGAGGAAACGCGCTCCGTAATGGCCTCTATCGTTACCGAAAGAATCCAGCTTAACGAAGATTAACGCGAGCCGCGGCATGATTCCCTTCCTGCTTCCCGGATTCCGCGGCTATTGTTGTTTACCGTGATTTTTATAGCGATTCCTGGTCTCCCTGATAAACGCGCGCGGAGATTAGAGTGCCGCTTTGTTGCGGTTTAGTGAATTGTTCCCGCGATCGCCGGGGTTTGCAGCTTCCAGAGAAATCGAATCGAGGTAGCGATGCGGACTTTGCGAAGGAAATTCGTTGGATCGTGTTTGTGGAGCGTGGAATCTTCTTTTGACGGAGCTACTGTTGCTACTGTTGATTCTCAGCATCTTACTATTTCTCTGGTTCTTTAGCCAATTGATTTGACACAGCAAAATTATAGAGTTTGGTATTTGATATTAAACCTTGATATTAAACAGCCTCTTTCTTTAATTTATGTACGATGTCTCATTAAATCAGTTTGAAGTGTCGTCGGCATTTCATTAAAAAATCTTGAGTATTTCCAATGAAAAACTTCTGGAGCTAAGGGTTAATATTACCCTGTAAATATTTTATTCATTATCAATATCGTTTTATTCATATTTCATCAGTCTTCTCGTATCGATCCCGACAACTCGAACCAAATGTATCATCCCAGCGATCCACGATCGCATTCTAGAAGTCAGTTTCAACTGCTCTCTTCCTCTGCCCTGATCCTCTTCTTTCGTTTCCTGTCGCAGAGGCTCGATCTCATTCGTACGTCGAAGCGGCACGATTTAGATTCGATCGCCGCCTAAGAAATGGACGTCGCCGACTTTCGGAATCGTCGGGCGGGAACTTCTTGAAAAGTCGCATTACCGCGCCACCTCGAGAACTCGAAACTAATTTCCCTGCGCGGCCGGATCGCCGCGTCGAGCCGCGATCCGGCCGCGGGGGGAACTTCGAGCGTCCCCCTTAACTTCCGCGCGGGGCAACTAGGCTTATAATGCCGTTCGATGGGAACAGAGGGCGGACGACCGTCGTTCCAGGAAATGAGCATTCGAGTTGGGGAATGTGCTCGTTGAAAAAACGTGTTCATCGTTCCGCGCTTACCGGGCAGGAAGTCTCGGTGCATGCACGGAAAGGCCGTAGTTGGGAAACTGTAATTGCGAGCGGAGCACTCGGCTGTCCCGGCCCCTCGAAGAATCGTCCGGGAACATCTGCGAGGAAAGTTCCCTCGGAACCGACCGTTTGCTGGCTACTGCTGTCTTCATCGTCGATGCCACTTCGCTGTGTTTATGAAATATTGCCCCTTTGGCTTCGGGACACTCGCTTTCGCGGTGGGATCGAACAGCCTTTGCGTCTTTATTGTTATTGCTCTGGATGGGATGGGGAGCTTTCGGTTTCTGATAGGGGTGGTTGAGGTTTCAGCTGTGCGATTTTGAGGAGCAGTGATTTACTCTATCTACTCTTGATTTGGTACGGAGGTTATAGCGAAAGTTTCGGGAAGTTCAGCTGTATTTTTGTAAATGTAGATTTTTCGGTTTAGGTTCTAATGCAATGGAGTATGGATTGATATTAGAACTGGGTGGATGAAATGATTGCTAATTTCTTTTAGATGCTATAAAGATGATTCTTTAGGAAACGATCAGAGAAGCTGAGTTGCTAATACCTAAGCTGAGATCTTAATAAATTCACGGTTGTAGTTTTTATAGAGATTTGATGAAAACTATGAAGTTGAATACTTGGTATTTTAAATTAAACTTTGTACTGCTATGTGAAATATTTAAATAAAATAGCTTTGTAGCTGAATTTATCTGTGAATTATCGTTAGATAAGTTTCAAACAATGTCTTCTATATCTCGTCGGAAAATATTGAGTATTTCTAGTGAAGAACTTTTGAGTGCAAAGGGTTAATATTTTGAAGAACAGTGAAACCATTAGTGTAAACTTATCATCAGTCTTTCCCGAAACTTTCGCAACACATGTACACCGTTAGATTGAAAGTGTTACGAGTATTCCTCTGTTAAACTGAAAATCCGGACGCGGAGCGTCACCGGTGAGGAATCGCGAGGACTGCTGGAAGATGGGATCGCGTTGAGATAAGAGGCGCGGGTCGCGTCGCGACGCGGAATCGATCTCGCGCTTCTCGGGGAACTCACCGTACTCCGATCGCTCCTCATGGCTGTTTTGGTTCTGTGCGGTAGTATGTATATATATACACATATATATACACGTGTGCGCGTGTACGCGGACGCACGGCGCGGAACATCTGGAAAGATCGCTCTGAGTATGCCCGTTACCTTCGATAAAGTCGAGGGAACTTCCTCGAGATCGTTACTAACCTTATCATTCCCTTCTCTCCTCTATTCTCACAATCTTTAACGCGAGATCATCGAATTCTTATAAAACACCGGTGTCCATTTACTTTATGATCACGAAATAAAATTCAATTTGCGTATTAATCGAGAACATTGTAAACCTCGTTCCCTGCAATCGCTGTCTTCTACGAAAACTCGAAAGAAAAGTTAAACAATAATCCAACAAACGCTAACAGATATAAATTACCTCGACACTGATTCCCACACGAACTTCTCAGCCTCATCAGTAATGATCACAAAACTTGTTTTCCATTCATCTCCCGTATAAAACAATCGAAGCCAAGAATCGCGCAACAAACCAATCGTCAACGGACCCTCATCGAGGCTCGCAATGGCGTCAGACACCCCGCGTGTCCCCGAAACGCAATCCATCAAAGATAACAGGCAGACGCAGAGAGATCCGCAGCAGCCGCGCGCGCGCGCGCGCCGCGACACGGGCGCGAGGGAACAGATATAGACGAGTATATATCGGATCGCCGCCACACGGTCTTATGTACACAGGTTCTTACAGCTACCATGTCGATTTTTGTTCTTGCTCGTTTGAGACACCAACCAGCAACGGAGAGGCTGGCCGAGTACTCGGCCAGGCCAGCGACGTTGCTGATCTGGCACGTGTAGTTCCCGCTGTGCCTAGCGCTGACGTTATTTATCGTCAGGATGCTGGAAAACGGCGGAAAGTAGCTTATCTGTATGTTGTCCCCGGTCTCGACAATGGCCGGGTTGGATCCGCCCGACGAAGACGTCGACGACGCGCCGTCACCGGGCCTGACCTGAATCGGTTTGTTGTCCATCAACCACGTGACGTTGAACGGCCGGTCACCCTGGCTCATGGAACACATTAGCTGTGTCCTCATCCCCTCCGTGACACCGTTCTCGAAATAAAACGGCGGGATCCGCGGTGGAACTATAAACGTGACGTGTGGATAATAGTATGCATATACCTGGTCACACCGGCCCGCAAAACCGCACACTCCTACAACGCGTGGCGCGACCAAACGGACGACACCCTCCTCTCTCCGACAACCTCTTACGACCTAGCCGAGGTGTCTACGGGGCACGTGGCTGGAATATCGGCCGGCGGGGCCTTTCATCAACCGCCTTACAGGGGGTGCAGCGACGAGACTTCGATTTTTCTTTCAATAACAGTTACGCGCCCGAAAATGACACACCGTCGCTGTCGCGCGAGAAACAAAAGTCGCGCTGATTGGCTCGGTAGATGCGATTCCTATAAATATGCCGACTTTTTTTTTAGCATCAGTTAACATCGGCTCGCGTAATCGATACCAGTCTCAACAATGAACGTAGAAACGCATTCAAAATCAACCTGCGTTGATGGAATTGTTAGAATCACTGTTACTTCAGCATTGTACTTTTAAGCGCGAAATTATATTTTTTTTGGTGAAACTGAACGAAGCAAAACAGATAGGAAGTAGAAAACAGATCAATCGCGAACAGATCTTTAGTTTAGATTCAACGCGGATTGGACTGTTCGTGTTTGAGGCTTTCGGCTGAGAGCTGTGCACTATAGGAAACTATCAACGTTTTGGCATTGTTACAGTTGGCTGAGGGCTGTTATCGTTTAGCCAGCTGCAACGATGCGGATACGTTGGGATGAACCTCATAGGACACGTGTTTCGAAAGGCTTAAACAAGTTTCAGATGTGTAAATTATTCGCTGTCGGGGTGTATTATGTGATTTCGTTGGTAAATTCCGAATTGAAATAACAGTTCGCGTTAGAATTGAAGTACGAGCGCATTCGCGATGTAGAACACCTCGTTGAACGCGAGTATACTCATAGGTGAGTCGAGGTTTGCGATCGGATGTGAATTAGACGAGGAACTCCGTGCATTTGCGATGGATACGAAGCTCGTATGAAACGGTTGAAATTTAAGTTTGTTGTATTATTCAGAATTTTCATTATTGGGTAGTGAATTAAATATAGGGTGAACGTAATAGCTTGTTGTTTTGAGTTTCCACTGTAGCTCGGTGGAGAATATAATGATACAGGGAAGCCAAGTGATCGGTTATCGCTAAATAATTAACCATCGCGAAATCAGTTTAATTTGGCTCAAGGGCGGCTTCCACCCTCTCGTTCGCCGATAATGATGCATATTTGCGCGAAGCTCCGCAGTCGAATACTCGCGCAGCGAAGGATCGCGGTGCAACCGGAGCATCGAACGCGAATAATGTTTTAAAGGGTGCATCGTACGCCGGGAAGAGTTCGCCGAGATAATTACGTCGGAATCGAGGAGTCGTTCGGCGGCGCGGAATTAACGGTCGGCCTCGCGTCGAAAGCAACGGCGCGCGTTGATAAATCTTCTTCCCGAACGTCTGAAATTAACATTAAAATGCAGCGTCTGGATGCCGGAGAGGCCGCGCGCGCGAGCAGTTTAATCCGCTCCGAGCGTAATTAATGTTTCCCTCGGCGGCGAACAACGGTCCAAAACGATCTGCAAAAAGGCCGCCGGCGACCCAGGCCGCCTGTAATATCACCGCAACGCGAAAACTCGTCTTGTTCGCGGGCCTTTGTGAACTCGAAGTCTCGTCGCGCGGCTGCCCGAGCGAGGAGATCGCCGGGAACAAGGATCTCGTTTGCTTCTTCGACATTCTCCCCTTCGATCGGCTCGGAATTTATCGCGCTTCGACTGCCGCGGCACCCGCATTCGGTTGACATAGTTCTTATGGACACGGGTGGTAGTAATGGCGTCGATGTAACGTGCGTGATACGGATGTGGTGATTAATGGGTTAGTAATGGTGAAATGTAGCTGTGCGAGGTGTAGGTTTCAAAATTGGAATGCTTGGGGATTGGGAATTTAAGAAAGTTTGGATGTTTGGAAGCTCGAAATTAGATAACTTGGAGATATGGATACTTAAATATTAGGGAATTAAGAAACTCCAATGGAAATTTGGAAGAAATTACTCGAAAATTAGGAAATAAAGAAACTTGAAATTTAGAGATATTTGAACATTAAAATTCGAAAATTACATGAAAATTCCACGGAAGCTTGAAATTAGATTGCTCGAAAATTAGGAAATTAAGAAACCTTAAACTTAGAGACACGTGAACACTAAAATTCGAAAATTACATGGAAGCTTGAAATCAGATTACTCGAAAATTAGGAAATTAAGAGACTCGAAACTTAGAAACATTTGAACAAAATTCGAAAATTACATGATCAGTGCTACATTAAACAGATCAAATCCCTAAGATCTCTAAAAACCATATAATCTTAACAGAAATCGATCCTACCACCAGAAAACTTATCTCAACCATCAGGTTTAAAACCTGAAAGTGTCACGGCAATCAAGGCGTTAGGAATATATTCCGCCGCGAAACGCAGCTGTCCCACGTAGGCCATCGCGAGAACCGTCGAATTTCGTTTGGTTAGTCTACTAACCGAGGAAACCCGCTCACGCCGAGCTTCCCCCGGCGTTCTCCTCGCTACGTGACCCAGGTCCAGCACGGGACAGGTGCGAAGCGCTCGGTTCCGAAGGCCGGAGCCCGTGAAAAATGGCGGGCCGTTCACGTGCGCCGCCGGCTAGAAAATGAACATTTATGACCCGGAGTAACTGTTAATGTCGGTCGATGCGTCTTTACGAGGCGACCGGGCCGAGAATTCGCCGGTAAGCCCTTGCCGGGCCGGCGATAAAGCGTCCGGGAGACGGCCGGCCTGGCCGAGATCGAAACTTCGAAGCCGCAGCGCTGTCCCACCTGACCCGGCTGCCCGTGTTCCCCGGCGCGGACAACTTTTTACGCGGATTAGCCTCACCCCCGCGCCGGAGGGATGAGTTAATTGCGGGGAACACTCGTGGCTCCTTTCCGCGCGGTGCCATTCGCAAGTCGACGGGCGGTCGAGCCTCTTTGGGAATTCATTGAATTGAATGTGTCGAGATTTCAGGCGTTTCGAGGGTGAATTGAACGCTCGAAGGTTCCCGCGTAAGCGAGAGTCAACTGAATGCTGCCGGGTTTGAGGGTTTTCGAGGTTGAGGTGAATGTGTCGGAGTTTCAGGGTTTTCGAGGGTGAATTGAACGCGGATTATTTAGATGTTTTTGAAAATAATTGAATGCCGCGAGGTTTGAGTGGT